ATGTTGGAACTCGAATTTATTGTTGATGAATCACGAATTTATTGATGTTGGAACTCGAATTTATTGTTGATGAATCACGAATTTATTGATGTTGGATCACGAATTTATTGTTGGTGAATCACGAATTTATTGATGTTGGATCACGAATTTATTGTTGGTGAATCTCGAATTGATTGTTGGTGAGTCACGAATTTATTGTTGATGAATCGCGAATTTATTGATGTTGGATTACGAATTTATTGTTGGTGAATCACGAATTTATTGATGTTGGATCACGAATTTGTTGTTGCGGAATCTCGAATTTATTGATGTTGAATCACGAATTTATTGTTGATGAATCACGAATTTATTGATATTGGATCACGAATTTATTGTTGATGAATTCTCACTCTCTCACGTAGTTTCTTTCTTGTTTGACCACTGTCATTTTCGCGACAGTTAGATCCTATTATACAAAATTCTTAGATTTAAAGTTTAAGTTGACATTAAGTTTGAACGTTATTCTTGTACGTTGAATTTCGCGCTAAGCTACTCGATCGGTGATTATCCATACTACACGAGAGGGAAGACAGCTAGTCAACACCACCCACCGCCAACTCTTGTGCTACTCTAATCGGGAAAGTGATATTTGACTGTCACTCTTATAACGTACCCAAAGCCCGAAAGTGCACATCAAGTTTTTTATTTATAGGAGCAGGACGCGAACTCCGGAACCTCAGCCAAAGTTTGAAGGGTCCCCCCACCCCCCGACTTAAAGGGGTTTTCCGGTTTCTAGCTACTTTCACGCGCCACATCGTTCATTCACCGTCGAATCTTACTTTTTCTTCGTCAGTTTATATTATTGGCCAAAGCGCAGTACAGTGCTGGACTGTGGAACTGAGGTCCCATGGTTCGCGTCCCGAAACAAAAAAAGTATGAAAAGAGTGTACCAGGAGTTGGGCTTCCTGTCTAGCCCATCACTTAAAATTGTCAAAGACAACGCTCGTGTAGCTTTGTCGTGGAATCAAGCAAAGAAACAAACTTGTTATATTTATATTACGTTGGAAATGCCCCATTCACGAACTGAAACTGGCCACGTAGATTAAACAAATAATCCTGATGTGGTATAAATACGAACATTTTTAATTTACACCCACGTAAAGAAATATATATATATATATTATCTATGGTTACTGTGCATTCCCGTAATTCGCTGTAGTACGTAGAGATTTAGACTGAAGATAAAAACAAATAAATTCATTTGGGTGATATTTACAATGTGCTCAACGCGAGCTTACCACAGAATACTTTTAATAGTTTACCCCAAATAATGCCCGTTCCAGATCATAAATAATATTTTCTGTAATAGTTCATTTAAAATCCTCTGTAGCGCTAAACTGATCTTAAACATATAACAAATAAATCTATTATCATTAAGAAACTGTGTGTGTGTGTGTGTCTGGAGGGGATGGGGTTAAAGGTTTTTTTTTTAATTCTCGCAAAGCTACACGAGGGCTATCTGCGCTAGCCGTCCCTGATTTAGCAGTGTAAGACTAGAGGGAAGGCAGCTAGTCATC